GTGGCACACTTTCTGTCCACACAGCCATCTGTTAGGCCAGCTTTCACTCAGACTCAGAGATCTGTGGTGTATTTAGAAATAGCTGACCTTAGACTATCTGCTGATGGATTGGGCTGTGGGACAGTTGGCCTCATCTGTATCCAACTCCTTTGCACTACGAGAACAAGAATGTGGATGCATGCTCAGCTGAAGTTTTCCCTTCCCATAAGCTTTAGAGCCCAGGTTTCGGCAGCCTGCCAGCACGACCCTGAGGATTTAAGCTACAGCTAGCAGGCATAGCCAGCCCTGAGGAGGGCCCACAGCTGCACTGAACTGGCAGTACAACAGACCCTGTGGAACACAGAATCTGCTCTGGAGTGGCAAGTTGAATATGAGCCAGCAGCATGCCCTGGCAGCCCAAAGGGCCAACCATACCCTGAGGTGCATCAAGCACGGCACTACAGCCGGTCGAGGGAAGGGATCGTCCTGCTCTGCTCTGCGCTGGTGCAGCCTCACTTTGAGTGTTGTGTGCAAGTTTGGGCACCACAGTATAAGAAGGGCATTAAACTACTAGAGAGTGCCCAGAGGAGGGCTACGGAGATGGTGAAGGGTCTAGAGAGGAAGATGTGCAAGGAACAGCTGAGGTCCCTTGGTTTGTTCAGCCCATAGAAGAGGAGGCTGAGGGGAGGCCTCATGGCGGCCTGCAGCTCCCTCACGAGGGGCAGGCGCTGAGCTCTGCTCTCTGGGGACAGCGACAGGACCCGAGGGGACAGCGTGGAGCTGGGACAGGGGAGGGTCAGGCTGGGGGATAGGGAAAGGGTCTGCACCCAGAGGTGGTCGGGCACTGGGATGGGCTCCCCAGAGCAGTGGGCACAGCACCGAGCCTGCCAGGGTTCAAGAAGTGTTTGGACACTGCTCTCAGACATAAAGTCTGATTTTTGGGTGGTCCTGTGTGGGTCCAGGAGTTGGACTTAATGGTCCTGATGGGTCCCTTCCAACTCAGAATATTCTGTCATTCTATCACTTGTGCTATGATTCGATCATTCCATCCAATTACTTTGAAATCCATTGCTCACTCATTAATGATTATGTTCACACCAGCACAAATTCTTCATTTCCACCAGTTCTGCCTGTTACTGTCAAGCGACAAGGGACAGGCCCACAGGGCCTCGTGGGAACACTGGAGTACTCAGGTGGCTGGGCTGAATTTGGTCCCATTTGTTTCAGGAACCAGAACTAGATGCCTTGAGGAACACATAAAGACTTCCAGTAGGCAGATGTTTATCCTGCAGCCCCATCTTCCTACCCTGTGCGTACACACGTTTTCTGGAGTCTGTTGGCTCCGGACTTGCAGAAACTTTCAAACGTGTCTCTTTTTCTGTCCCCCTCCCCACAGCTCGTATTGCTCCCAGTGAGGCATGTCACTGCCTCACTGCCATGTGGCTTGTAGCGAGGGCTGTGGGAAGTAGCCAGCTTCCTCCTTCCTCATTTGATCCATTTGAACCACTTCTTGGTGGCAACCTGGCAATCTGTTTCTCTGCCTTGCAGTGTTCTCACCCTTTGGAGCTATCAATTTATTACAGGGGAAAAAAAAAAAAAGAAAGAAAAAAAAAAAGAAAAGAAAAAAAGGGATAACTACAGATGGCTCGCAGCTGGAGGAAAAAACAGACACAAATTTCTGCTGGCTGCAGTTTCAATTGAGCCCAGGATAATTCCCTCCTTCTGTTTCTTCTGGGTGAAGAGATGCAGAGATGCAGTTCCTTCTCTTTTTGTTTGCAGTAATAGGTAGGCTGAATTGGTGCAAAAACAGTGACAGACTGAAGCTATCAAAAAAGTCCAGAGTGACTTTGCAGAATAGAACTTTTTTTGCCTTTTATCCTCTCCTTTTTAATTATTCTTTTCCTTCTTTTTCTTTCATTTTCTTTTTCTTTTTCTTTCTTTTCTCCTTTCTTTCTCTCGTCTGTTTCCTGTTTTTACACCCATAGCGAGCAGGTGCAATTCAATATTGACAGAGCTCCATGTATTCCGAAGCAAGTTGTGCAATAAATCCCTCTCAGAAGAGTGACAGCTTCAATTTATCCTATCTCCCTGAAATGCCTTCCATTCCTTGTTCTCATATCTGTCTCTTTTCTCCCTTCCCCTTCATTTTTCCATTAGATATGCATTTGTGGCTTCTGGTCAAAAATAATCTGATATAGGATGGTATTTTAAAAAAGAAAAAAGAAAGGAAAAAAAAAAAAAAAAACAATTAACAAGTCCCAAAACACTGATATCTTCCATTAGACAAGGATCCAGATTTCATGCATGTGGAATCCCTAACATTATCTCCTGTGCTTTCTTAGTGAGTCTGGTGCATCTGGACTCACTCACTTATCTGTTAGATATGAGGAGTTATCTGATTTACAAATTCTGGAGAAGGTACAAAGAAGAGCTATAAATTGATCAAAGGTACAGAGGGTCTTAGCAATGCTGATAGACCAAAGTGTTTAATCTCATGCAGTTTGGAGAAACTTAGATTACAAGGTGGGATGCTGGGGAGAAAAGACTGCTCTTGCTCTCCCTGAAAGCAGATCTGAGAGACAAGGGTAAGAATGTGTTCAAACTGAGCAGGAACACAGAAATATGCAGCTGCTTTAAGAGATTGAAGTGATACTGTCAAATATTTTACTCAGAATGTAGGCTTGCTAATGCATTATTTTCTGCCCCTGAAGAAGATGGGAGGTAACTGCAATTTATCCAGTGTGTCAGAGGGAATCCCGGGTCTGTTTGCATTATACAGACAGTGGTATACTGTAGCCATGGCATTCGAGTGATCTTGGATCTTTTATCCATCATCCAGTGCTATGAAAGTGGTGCTATGGCCTCTCCACCAGTAAGAACAATGTTTCTATCTTAAAAAGGTCTAATCTAACAGTGCATGTATTGCACTCGCAAGAAGAACTGTCAGCCTGGAGTCACTCCTGGTAGCACCAGAACTGCTGCTTGACAGTGACCCTAGTAAAAGAAACGAGAGGATGCCTTTCTCCTAGCACTTGCTCCTGGGAGCTGGACCTCTGTAAGCATCTTTGTGGTTGTGGCTGAACTGAAACAGTTTCTCCTTATCCAGACAGAGAATATAATCGCTATGACCTCTTTAATTCTTGGCCTCACTGCTGCAAGTATCCCCAGTGTTGGCTTTTGACAATATGCTCTGGGGACCGTTCCTGATGGGTGGATTGGGATGCTCATAAGGGTGTGAATAAGAAATAGCCTCATCTTGATTGGATTGACACTGCTCTTGACAAGGAGAGTTCATGACCTGTTCACATGCCTTCCCCTTTTTGCTCTTCTGGACACTTGTTCTAATGATGCAAAGCCTTTCTGATCACACGTAGTTTCCAGCCTCTTTCCTTCATGTCGGTTCTCCAAACACAGTCAACTGCATTCAACTGGTGTTCGAGTCCTCTGCCAACTCAGCAATCCAAATCAAAAGGGTTTGCTTGAGACACTCAGGGAGAGGTGGTCTCTTAAAAAAAAAAAAATCTGATTTTGTCTTTTTAAATGCTTTTAATATTTCTCACCTTAATGTTTTAGCAAGAAGCTGTGCTGATGGTGCAGCCTAGTGGATAGAGCACTGAGGTGGGACTCGGCAGAACTGTTTTTTGTGTTTGTTTTTTTTTTTCCAGTTCAACTTGTCAGACAGGAGTAACTTCACCTGGCCCTAGATTTGCAATTACAGTCACAAAAATTCGAATATCATGAAATCTACCAGAGGAAAACAGGGCTGGTTTTTAGCTTGCCTTCTGATGCATTTTATCTCTGCATAATGTGGTATTTACTGACGAAAATAGTTAAATAAACATTAATTTGTGAACAGTGCCATGTGAGAAAAGACTTTCCAATGTTAACAGTCTGGCAGGGAATATAAGCAAAATGACAGTAGAGGAGATAGAGGGATGAACAGCATAGACATGCTAGAGTTTCTTCCCACACTTTTTTTATAATGACATATTTGTATCCTGGCATGTCTTCAGCTGGTACAAGCTGGGGTAATTTTGTTTCCTTCAGTGAAGTTCTGACTATTTGCAATGGGTGAGAGTCCAGTTCCTGCAGTGAGCTCTTGCTACAACAAGAACAAGAGGAAAATCAGGCCCCCAGAGGAATTTTAAAATGCTGGTTTCTGCTCTATGTGTCTCTGTAGACTGATGCTGAGGTTCAAAAGCAGGAGCTTTATGCTTCTGAGGAGCCAGCTGCCATGATGTTTCCATACCCTATCCATTTCTAAACAGTAGGTAGAGCTTCCTCTACTGCGGATTTCTACTCCCTCTGTATAGACTTCAGTGTGATTGAAAACTAACTAACTAACTAACTAACTAACTAACTAACTATAGGATAATCAGCACTAGAGAAGCATTTCTTTTCTTAGCTGGAACAGGAGTAGAAGATCCCTTTGGCTGGTAAAGTAACAACAAATGCAGCCAAACCTAAGAAAAAAAAAAAAAAAAAGCAGCATCAATCAATATTAAAAACAAAGTCATGGGGAGCACCTTTGCTGTTTGGGTAGAATCTAATGCTCCTAACAGGGCAAGTTTTCTTTGCAGCAGCCTGTGCATCTGCAGTCCCTCAGCACAACTGAGATGGCTCTGTCGCTTTCGATTTGTTTTCCCTGTTAGTTTTGATTTGGTTCCCTTTCAGAAGGTAAGGGAGATAAGGGCCAGGTGAGCTGGATCCAGGAAGGGCTGGAAGCATTGATCCACTAGGGTGCATCTGTGGGCCGGATGTCTGAAGGGTGCGGTTTCAGATGCCAGCTATTAGGCTTTGGGGTTATTTCTACTGTAACTATATTTAGGAAGGGGGGCTCTTTGTTTATTTAGGCTCAGAGCTTTAAGATAAATGACAGCTCCGAAGATGCTTTTCAGCACTTCATAAATCAACTGCCAGCTGGCCAGTTTCACCTCTGAAATGTCTCCTGCTTTTTTTCTTTGCTTTTCTTTTTTTTTTTTTTTTTTTTTTTTTCCTCCCAACTTTGGGAAGATGGTATATCCAAAGGAAAAAATCTTCCAGAGAAATGACTCTGATGAGGAATATGTGCATTTGGGGAGTGGAAATGACTTCATCCTTGAAAGACTCGAGGTGTTTGAAATCCTAGCTCATTGCATTTTCTGAATTCAAAGCTCTTAGAAGGCATTCTTGCTGAGAATTTGCAAAGGACAGAGGTGCTCGGCAGGCTGACTGACACATCCTCAGCTGCCACGACATTTTTCTTGTTACATTTTATGCCACTTTTCGCTGTCTCACTCAACACATCCGGAGATTTACTGGTGTTCTTTTTCTCTGGCAGAGTTGCTTTGATTCCTGCACAGCTCACAGGACTGTCTGTGCCAAGGACTCAGCATCTCCTTTCTCCAGGGTAAGGCAGGATTCCTGCCAAGAGGTTGTTGACAGCCATGCAGTCTCTGTGGGTAGAAGTGAACACCATTTGAACTCAAACACCACACACGCTTAGAAAAGCTCTGGACTGTCCTCCAACCTCTTGCCAAGCCTGGAATCACATTTTGTCTGTGTAAAAGGGTGGGGTACCCTGTGACCGCGGCCTTTGGATTCTCAGAAAAGTATTGGCAAAATCTGTGGTAGTTGAATTTTAGGATCCCAGATTATAGGTCTGTGCACTCTGAAAAAATTGAGTTGTTCTCTCATTTTGGAACTGAATTACAGACTAAGCACTATTCTTACAGCAGACGATGATCACGTAGTCAGTCTAACCCTGCTTGACATGTGCATCTGAGTGTGGTTAACTGAAACATGGATTCCACCCCAGCGGGTGATACTGATACCCAGTCAGCGGGACACAACAGTAAGGGCACTAGTCCTAGCTGTTGGAACAGGGAAGAGTATTTTTTTCATACAGTAGTCACAAAAGACAGCTTGAATAGAGTCCTGCCTTAAGGGCCTTCTTACCTCCTCCCATGGATCCCTTCCCATCGCCACCGTGGGTTCACATGATAGCACATGGCAGGTAAATGCCACAAATGATGAAGCAGGCAACACTTGGCAGCTGTCCAGTGAAAGCAGGGTCTCCAGGATGGCCTGGGGAGTTGGGGTGAAAGATTACATACGGATATGTGCTACACGATCAGGTAATGGGACTGTTGGCTGCAGCGTTAGTGGTGTAACCCTGTCCCCCTTATCTCCACTTGCTGGTCAAGAGCATCACAGATCTGCGGGCGGGGGCCAGGATGAGTCCAAGGAACCTTTTGGCTGGAGGCAGGGAGGGGGAGTGAGCAATCTGCCTGTGGCAGATCCTACTGGAGTAGACCCTAGATTTCATTCCAGATGGGTGGTAGACCTCCTGTGGCTGCGGGGCTTGTTCGTCCTCTTTCAAGTGTGTTTTCCTGGACTTAACACTGAATAGAGGAGCAAGGAACTCTGGCTACAGACCAACATAAATGCAACAGAGACAAAAGGAAGAAACGAAATGAGTAGGAAATCACGTAAAGTGGTGATAAAGGAATAACAGAAGTACAGATAGCTTTTCAACACATCTTCAGAGGCTATAAAACTGTGTGAATCTTCAGTGTGTGCCCCAATATTGCCAAGAAAACTGCACTTGAATTAACTGGATTCTGAGCTCGTTAAAATTGGCCCTGCTCCACCAACCTCTTGTAAACCACAAAGAATAATGGGGAAAAGTTTATTTTCAAGTAAGAAGTGGAAAGACTGAAGTGTTTAACAAAGGGGCCTAGAAAGCTCTGAGCACTGGACAGTCTCCACCTGGTTGCATTAAACCAGTCGCTACATTTTTCAAAATCCACCCATGCTTTAATCTCTGCTCCATTTCACATTTCCTTGTGATGTTGTCCAAAGAAATGCACTCATTGGCAATAAGCTTAACAGTCACCACAAAGCTTAACAGGACCTTGATGTGGCTTTTAAAAACCCCCAAACCCTTAACTGCTGAGACTCACAAATTTTTTCTCCTTAGCAGATGTTAAAGGGGGACTGAAGCTTTGCAAACATTTGCAGACATGGATAATGTTCATCCTGATGGCCTGATTCTCATTTACATGAAACTCCCTTTACAATTCTCTGGCTTGGAAAAAAAGTGCTTCTGAAATGCTTGTGAAAGCAATTTATGTAAAGGGACCTGAGTAGGAATGAAAATCAGACTGCTAGTCTTCCCAGCCAGATGAGGATTATAAACATAGTTAACTCAGCTTTCTTGACTGTAGCCCAAAACCCCTAATCTTAACGTATCTCTGTAAGTCTGTTACAAATGTCAAATTCTTTCTGATTATCCTGATAGCTAATGTGCACCGTGACAGCATCTAGAAGCTGTTTTCATGAGCTGGGACCTTATATTCAGGTGCAAAATAGCAAAAAGATATTTAGTCCAGAATGCTTCCCATTTTGCAAGGCAGTACAACATTATCACCCAAATACCAGGTCTGGGACTTTCTTCTTCACCTTTGATGTGAAATGGCAGCTATGACAGTAGCAGCTTCAAGCTCCGAGACTCGTGAAGCAGCACATGGTACAGCATGCATGGATGTGTGGTATTTTCAACTCTATCTTGTCTTTTCATGTGTGGAGACAGTGATTCAAGCTCAGGCTGGCAGTCTGTGTACAGGCAAGGCAAAAAGTCCCACCTTAGCTGAACAGCTAATTCCATATTCTTTCACTGAAAAATTAACGAGCTGATGGGAAATATCTCGCTGGCTGGATCACATCAGTCGCTGTTTGGTTTGCTGGTCTAGATGTCACACCAGGGTTTGGAAAAAAAAATCAAACTGAGAACATCCACGTAGATACTCTTCTTTATGTTCCATACTGGACAAGGAGAACGCAGCAGGAAACATGGAGAACTTCCTTGGCAGCAGGCATTGTGCGTGCACCAGAATTGTTAAATGTTCTACTATTACCCTAAAGGAGACTGTAGTGAGGTGGGCATTGGGCTCTTCTCCCAGTGACCAAGTGATAAGACAAGATGAAATGTCCTTAAGTTGCACCAGGGGAGGTTTAGGTTGGCTATCAGGACAAATTTCTTCACTGACAGGATTGTGAGGCATTGGAGCAGGCTGCCCAAAAAAGCAATTGAGCTATCATCCCTGGAGGTCTTCAAAGACATGCAGATGCTGAGCCTAGTGACATGGTTTAACGGTGGACTTGACACTGCTAGGTTAAAGTTGGACTAGATGATCTTGGAGGTCTTTTCCAACGTAAATGTTGTTGTAGAACTCCCTCCTGCTTCTTAGAGGAGTTTGGGTTTTTTCAGCAAAGCCTATTTTTATGTACGATCCCAAACTTCTGTGGATCCATTTAAAAATGTCTAACTCAAGGCAGAACAGTTCTCTTGGAGGATGTCGTTATTACTTGTAATTGCAACCTTGCAGCATAACACCCTTACATATGCAATCTGCAGTCCAGGAGAGAGTGATAAATCAGGAACTGTAAACCACTTGGACAGTATTAGAGCCAACCTGTACTTCCAGAAACTGGAATGACTGAGACCATTGTGTATCCTAACAGCACACAGGTACATTTGGTGGAAGCAATCTCCTCAATCTCTACTTCTTTGCAGGAAAAAAAAAAAAAAAAAAAAAAAAAAAAAAAAAAAGCTCATAGGGAATGACTTCCTTGGATTCTGACTTTGGGAAGAGAAGGGTAAGAGAGGAATGTGTTTTCACAGGCTTTGAGGCATTTCCTCCTCTGGTGATACTGGAGCTGGACACAACTAAGTGGTGACAGTTTATCTGGAGATGCTGCTGTGTTCATTAAGAGAGGCTGTTGCTGTTTATCTGCATCTTGTCTGCGAAATCGGGTGCTCAGAAAACAAATTGGCAGTGTTGTCAGCATGCTGTTGTCTTAGTGTGGAAAGGGGTAGATTTTCAGAGGCATTCACCCAAACTCTGAAGCTGGCCATTTCTGGGAGATGCTGCTTCTCCTTACAAAACCTTTGGCGTTGCAAGGGGAACCATCTCAAATCTAAAAGAAGATCTCCTTTTCCACCCATAATTTCTTTCAGGAAAAAAATCAAAAAATATTTAAAACTTCATAGCAACTTGTAAAATATCGCCTTAGGCCAACTGCTAACTCCATACAGGGAAGAATATGACTACTACTATAGGTGAGGCATCATGGGTATGGCAGATGTCTGGGTCTATGCCTCTTTTTGTTTTGTTTATAATTATTCAAGGGAAACAAGCACTTTTAATGTGCAGCTTGTCTCCTTCTGAGACAGATTTTAGTTAAACTCTGCATGCAAAATGCCTTTTTGTCTCCACCAGCTATAAATGGAGCCCAGACGACTGGTAGAGAACAAACGCATTGTAAGCATCTAAAGTTAGGAGAGACAAGCCCCTCTGGTGAAATCTGCTGGTCAATTTGCTATTTCTGCTTGCTGTGTAAAAATCACCAGTTATTATTACAAAAGGCAGCAATTTAAAATTGTAAAGCAATATATGATCACCCTTTTGCGTTTCCCTCTTCCACTGTACCACAGCGGGACTAAGCAGACAGTAGAGATCCAGTAGCAGGTGCACCAAACAGCCCTGTGGCTAAATGATTTTTCTTTGTTTTTGTCTTTTAAATTATGATTCTGACTTGGAGAAATGAGCTCACACTAAAAGCAGGAATTAGAAGATTTAATCTCTACTAAACTCCACCTTTCTAGCTGTCAAAATACTTGGTCCTTTGCCTGTAGCCATGTGAGAACTCCATGCAGCCCTTCAGTCATGACTGCTGCTCCGATGGCTCTCTTATTTTTTCTGCAGCTGCCAGGGTGGATGCAGCTGAACCTGCAGCAGCCCTTGGCATCTCAGAGCCCCAGATCTGCCAGTGGAAATGGCATTTTCTTCTGAACCCTTCTATCCCTAGCTGTGTCTAAAGCTAAGTCTGATGGCTATCACCAATCCTTCCTCACACCAGTAGCTCTTCCCCGATGCAGCCCTTGCCCTTTCCAGCCCTCTTAACCCTACCAAATTCTGCTCTGCCCTCCGTACAGCTGAAGCCTGCCAGGCTGTGCCCAACCGTTTCCATGCTTTGTGAAGTGACACAGCAGCTGGTTGGAACTGTAACATCCGTCTTTATGAACAAACTGAGCCTGCATTTTTGGGATTGAAAGGTGAACATGTTTGTCATCCTTCTCACACAGCTTTTTTTTTTCCTTTTTTTTTTTCTTTTTTTTCCAAAACTAAGCAGTGTGGGCTTGCTTTCCTGATTTGTCATTTCTCTCTCTGTGAAATGCTGTGAAGTGACACGCTATATTAGTTACTCCCAGATTTCAAAGCCTCAGCTGGCTTCTCAACAGCCGAGAGAACTTGTTGAGGAAAGGGAGATCGATATGATGAGAGCAGCAGGCATATATGATTTAAAATAGCCTGTTTTAAAGTTGTTGAGCTTAGTTCTCTGTTGCCTTCTCCTTTCCATTTGAAATGCATGTTCTATGTTTCTGTTTTCACAATAGTGAATGAGCATTGCACAGGCAAAAATGCTGTTCAGAGAGGAAAAGTCAGCAGAGGGATTGAGTATTAAAGTGAACTGATTGTTTATTACTGAAAATAATAATGTAAAAAGATGATATCCCTTCCACCCCATTTCTACCCATGTCTAAATCCATATATTTGGATAATTACCCCCTGTATGTTAATTCCACTGCCCACACTACATAAAACGAACTCCCAACAATTTGAATAGATCCATCTGAGGCCTGTACCCTGCTGGGTGGCTGCAAAATCCTTCTGTACCCCACAGACAACACTCTGGTTTAAACTGAGCTTTTCCACCACCATTTTCTAGGTTTCTTGCAACAGAGCATAACATCAAGCAAACATTTTGCTTGAAGTGCTATACAGGATTTGCAGTGTCATACAAGTGGAACTGGATTAGACCACTGTTTCCTCCAGTTTGAGACTCCCACCAGCTGCCGTAGATGAAGGTGCAAGAAACCTCCACAAATGCAATTGCCAAGTCACCTACACACAAGGAAGCTTTCTCCCTGACACCCATTAGTTAGAGGTTAATTTATACCCTTCAGCATGAAGGTTTATCAACAGCACAAAACTCTGAATATTTTCTTTCTCTTTCCCTCCTTTTCTGCATTATTAAATATGTGTGGCATTTCTTACTTGGGCTGCTTCTAACAGCAATTACTTTAAATGTCCACATTAAAAAGTTGACCCATATGCTTAGGCGTCTGCTTTTTAAACCCTAGACCCCTGAAAAAAAAAAGCAAAGGACACCTTGCATTGGGGTTGCAGCAGGGTTTCCATCAGCCTCAAGGTGTGGACAATTTTACATCGTTCTCTCTAGCCTTTCTCCTATACTAGGATGGGTGGAAAAAAAATACCCCTATTTAGTATCTGTTGGTCCCTCAAACACAAGAACCACTTGACCCTCTTGCATAAACTCCTGTTAGCCCCTGCCAGCTGGATCCCATGTCCTGCAGCACTCTGTACACCGGGGGGTATCAGGCAAAGCACAGATCATCTGCTGGGCGGCTACTCACCCACCAGAGAGCAGAGCACGGTTATCAGGATGCTGCACGTCCAGACACCGACAGCACAATGACAGCAGGACCTGCCTGTGAAATGAGGCCAAGATAAATGATGTATTGCCCTCATCCCTAACAGTGTGGCCCAGACAGAAACCAGGTGGAGAGGAGGGAGCCTACACCTTGTGTAAACAATCCCCTGTCTCAGCTGAAACAGCTTTAGGCAGAGATTCTGGATTAAGAAAGTGATTCTTGCCCTGGACAGAAAGTTAAAGGGCAGGGGTGATAATGCACTGTTGGCCAAAGGTGGCCAGGGGAACTTAGCCATTACTCAGCAATGGTTCATTTGACCTGGCAGGAGAACATCTGATATCTAAACAGTCCTAGTCATCCTGAAATACTCAGAAACCTCTACACTAAATATTTGATGCCCTTGTTTGATAATGTTTATTTTGCTTTCTCCCCACCTGTGTGATGCTAATATGCTGTGAGTGGGGAAAACATGGGGTAGCACATACCAGAGATAAAACACTAATATGTGATCTTTTTTTTTAAACAGAGATTTATGAGGCATACCATGAAGCTGACGCTGGGGAAAAAAAAAAAAAAAAAGTGGGGGCTGGAATTGGCTATGGGGACTGCTTTTGCATCACTCTATATAACACCAGCAGCGTGTGACCTCCCAGATCATCTCTGCTCTGTCTTTGTAAGAAACTTGTGCAAATCATGACACAGTCAGAAGGCTCATGGAGTAGTACCAGGGTTTGATTTGCTTTGTCTGGGTATCAGTTTCTGCACTTGTGCATGGAGGAAAAAGTGAATTTAAGTCAGTCTCATCTCTCCTGTATCTGTGACTGTTCAATACCCTCTCACTACCCCACTGGAAGTTAAAACAGTTTTGATACAGTCATGCTTTTTGGGTCATCCACTAGAGACCATGCTCTTTCCTTGTTTAAGTCTGTAGTTGATCGGGTGGTGCCAATTTACACCAATGATCAGGGCACCCCAGCTTCCAAGGGGAAAACACCACCTCGTTTGTAGCAATCTTCATCTAAGCTAGTTGTACGGAAGCTCGCTACAGGCAGCAGAGATCTGGTCAACACAGTCAGGGAAATCTTGGGGGTGATTCATCTGACCTCTGGGAAGAGACAGGCGGTCTCTGGATTCAGTACAGCTCCAGCAATTAGGAAGGGAGCGATTTTGTTGTAAGCATCCACGATGAACAGAGTCCTGCCACTGCTGTCTGAGGCTGCTAGAGACAGCAGTGCAAAGAAGAGGTTCGCTGCTGGTGTTCTAGGTCGTTCGGATCTTGACTCGAGAGGTGTTCCTGGCGGTGCTTTCGTCCTGCCAGCTCTGAGCCCACTGAGCAGCAGGGCCTGCAGCCTGCTCCGGGACCCTACGGGACCTACCCAGCACTGAAGTCAGAGCTGCAGCTTTCTCTTGCTTTTTCCCTTACAAAACAAGCCCTGCCCCTTCCAGTTTTTAATATCAAGGCATTTCCCACACATCAGAAGGAAATACTGTTGGAGCTGGTTTCTTTCTCTACATCATTTGAATATACCCTTTAGCTATTTTAGCGTTCACTTACCTATTTTGACAGGAAGTGATGGCTTTGAGGCAGATGTGTTTCCTTTCCAGATAGAAAGAACTGTGGTCTTTGAGCTAAGAATTGACATTGTATAGTGGTTACTTCTGAGAATAAGAAATCCTGAAGTTTCTTTCTGATTTTGCCCTTGTGCAGGAAGGAGAAAGCCCCAGTCATGCCTTCCATCTCAATTTCCTCGTTTGTCACAGATATGTTACACAGGTTGCTCTGTTACCACTGGCCCAGCAGTTCACGTTCTCAGATGCATGTTTAAAACTCTTTATTAAAAGAAAGAGCTGGCTGTCACTTTCTAACAAAAAGTAAATAATAGAGGTGGTCACAGTGCTGGTTCTATAGCTCTTGATCTGAGATAAATCCTTTTTTTATCTGCTGGGTTATTAGAAGCACACCGTTACTTGTGAAAGTTCAGGTGAAATTGGGTTAAAAATTGGAGAGGATGTGGGCTATAAGTATGTTTAAAATGTTATCTGTTCTTTCTCAAACATGTCTTTCCAGCTCAGGTATTTACATGCTGATAACCTTTTGGTCCCAATGGTGCTAAAGACTTCATGCCTTGTATTTCAAAACTGATAAGAAATTGAAAGATGTGGAGTCTCCAAGAAACGTTATGAAAAACAACCCTCCTCCTTTCCCCTGAGTTCCTTGGTTATTGTGCTACTTGAAACATTGATTTTCTGGAAATTAATTACCATAGGAAACTGTTTGGCCCAAAGCGCATAGGAAGGAGACAACTTTGAGGGAGACGAGAAGACATGTACGGCTTTTGTTATTTAAAGGTTTGGCCTTTGTTGTCCCTTTGATCTGCCACTCTCATAGATTCCTTCCTATCAGCAGATCAAGGAGAATTTTTATCTTACTGGGAGCCTTTGCATGTGTTCTGTTATGTTTTATTAAACTCCTTCTGCAGTAATATCAGGAGTTTTGCAACCATCTCTGTCTGTTCTTTCCTGTAGGAACTCGACAGACAAAAAGACTCTGTATATAAGATGTTTTAAATAAGCTTGTGAGCAAATGTTGTTGGAATGCCCCCACCCCCCTTTATGCAGTAATGTGGCCACACTATAGAAGAAGATTTAGCTAAAAAGTAGAAATCTACCAATGTTGGTCTGTCTGGGAGCAGGAGAGCAGAGAAAGCTCATGGTGCTGCTTGACTTTGGCCTGAACTGGTAGCTACTGAGAAGAAACTTTCTCTGATGGTGTATGAAATGAGTTCAGCAGATCTAAGGCCAAGCAGAACTGTGTTTTTGCAGTAAAAAAAAAAAAAAAAAAAAAAAAAAAAAAAAAGCAAGCAAATTGCATTGGAACTGATACTCTCTAGCACAAACTGGAGATGAAGTGAATTACTGACACTGGATTCCCATGCCTCAAGATCAGGAAGGGAAGGAACCTTGGCAGGATGAAATTTCACCTGCCACTCCCAAACTATGATTAGACTCAAGGACTCATTCTCCCAGGCCCACCAACAGCACCTTTCACAACCTCTCAATGTATTGAATAAGAAGGGAGAAACTGCAGGGTGATGTACAGCTCTGAATTTACTGGCAGAAATGTCACCAGTTTCAGCTTGATGCTGTTGACCTCTGACCACTGCATTAACTTAGTATGTTCAAGTAGCTGGTACAAGCCCAGTTGTATGAACTGAGTTGTAAACTTTTACACAGGTCTTCAGGAAAAAAAAATAAAAATAATAAAAAAAAAATAAACTGTTAAGCTGTTTAAGTGATTCTGATAGCAACCTGAAGTACTCTGATCTTGCAGAGACAGAGACCAAAAGGCACTCAGGCACTGAACTGATACATTGCATGCATCTAAAGCATTAATTCGGTGACAAGCATCCTCGTCTTGGGCTTCCATGAAAGTTTCTCCTCACTGAGAAACAATGGCCACTGAAGGCAGTTGATATACTGTGCTTCGCCTGGAATACAGTCCAGCACAGCAGGGTACCGAGGCCCTGGCACTGAGACAGTTGAGGAAGCCAGATGACGTTCCAGTCATACCTTTCAGAGCCGAGACAGCACAACTGATTTATGTCCAGTGCTGACGATGACAGAAAAGCACAGGACAGTTAAAATGTTATTCTTGGTGTATTTCATGTATGACTGGACAAAACTTACACGGTGGGTCAAAGACATTGCAGAAATGCAGGTCCTTAACAAGTACCCTCTTCTGCATCTTGCAGAAAAGCTGCAGAAGGGTGTCTGTGACCTGTATGAGTCTGGCATTGCCTGAAAGCTGAACAGTCCTGCTCTCAGGCTCTGTCTGCTCCAGCATCAGCCAGCTGACCTCAGACTACCTTCATCAGCTGTTCAAACGAAGTTCACTCAAACTGTCCCTAGGGAGTGCTCCCACAACCCATTCTGCCAACAAAACTCGCTGCACGTTTACTTCCAGTACCAGCGTGCTCACAGGAAGCTGGGGATCGGTTGGCTCCAGACTGCCAAGTTCTCAGGAACAGGTGAACAGGCTTGGTCCAGCGTACCTGAGGACTACCAGTTCCCTCCCAGCCACCCCTGGTGCTGGAGTGCAGCAAGGGGCAGCAGAAGCCAATTCAGACAGCCCATGATATCTTCATCTATGAGCTGCATGAAGCAGAAAGCCTCTCTGCCACCCAGCACCCAGCAGAGCAAGAGCCTCACCCTCCTGGGAAATAGTGTGCACAGTACAAAACCTTATCTCAGTCTTTCCCTACATTATTCTGCCTTGTTATCTTTGGGGGGGGGGGGGGGGGGGGGGGGGGAAGGAGGAGAAGGGGAAAGGGAGAGGGAGAAGAGGGAGGAAGGGGGAAGAAAATATTCTGTGTTTAGATTTTGTTATTTATGTGGGGTTTGATTTGGTTTAGTTTGTTGATAGAGCAGCAGAAACAATACTAAATGCACGGAGAGTGTCTGCTGATTTCCATGGCACTATAATTTTCCTCTTCAGCATGGAGGAGAGGCAGGGTGTGGGTCAAGGAAAAAAAGATTTACTTTTCCTTGATATGCACAACCTTGGCAACACAGTTATGAATGCACTGAATTTGTAACAAGCCTTTCAGAAACGCTCCCCTAGAAGACTTTAGAACTTTGTAGGCAACCAGCCTCCATAATCAAGTCTTACAACATAGCTCACTACTTCATAAAATCGAAACAAATCATAAGGGGGGCATATTAAAATAATTTGTATCAGTAGGGACTGATTTAAAGCCCAGCTCCTCATCTATCAGCGAGATGCTGTCGTTTGCTAGCATATTCCTACAAACTGCAGGAAAGCTTTGCCAAGTCCATTAATTATAAAGAGAAGAGAGCCTTCACGGAGAGAAAAAGGGAAAGCAGGGAGTGAGTCTAATAAGCTTCTTCGTTAGAAATACCCCCCAAAAAATAATTGTGGGAGACAAATGGTGCCAGGACGTTTGATCTTTTATAGGAGAATAATTTAAGGCGACGTTTATTGCATGGCAATAGGGATTTTTGTGCCATCCGGCTCGCACAGGATAACACATTAACGGGAAGAG